TGCATTCGGATCGGTCTCCGAGTTGGCTGAAGGTACAGTTCGTGTAACAGTGGAGGAGGCGACAACTGTGATGGAGGTGAAGTGATGAGATCGGGGAGAGAGAGAGAGAGATGTGAGAATTTCTCTGTGATATATGGATGTAGGAGTTGAGGGATCTTAGACATTATAAAATAAAATTGTAGATCTCTTCCATTACTAAATATGAGAGAGGGACCTTAGACTAATTTTTCCTATAATTTTATTGTTAATGTTAAGAAATTAAGATCTGATACCAATTTAAATACACACTGAAATAAAATACCTTCTTAAAGATAGATTAGAAAGTTTTTAAACATTAAAAAACTTTTTAAAGTTTTTTTCGAAATAAAATCTTAACGGAGTTTTTTTTTTTTTTACGTAAACCTCGTTAAATTATGACTTATTTGTATTGTCTCCTTGAACTTTAAAATGCAACAGTTAACCACATCGAAATATTATTTTGTTACATTGAACACCTTTCATTAGAATTTTGTTTTGAAATTTAAATGGAATCAGATCATGTGTGAATCACATGACACTCTTATTAATTTTTTAGAACAATAATACCTATTATTAATTTTTTTAGGACAATAATACCTTTATCTAGTGATCTCATTTATACTTTGTCTATTATCGGAGCGGTAAATTACAAACAACCAAATAAGAGTATTATTACCCTATAAATTCAATAAATGTGTCTTGTGATTGACATATGATTTGATTTTGTATAAATTCTTAACGAATCCTAATACAAGGGGTTAATTGTAACTAGATAATATTTCAAGGTGATTAAGTGTTAAGTTTTAAAGTTCAGAGAGACAAAATGTAAATGAATCATAATTTAAGAGGGTTTATTGAAATTTATTATTGAATTAAATATTTTACGGACTTTACATGTTCGATTGATAGTTTAAGAATCGATAGTTTGAAAAATTTAGTAATATTTTAGATGATCTAAATAAGTATACTTTTTGATTTTTTTTATGAAAAGATGTACAGAAAAGTAGAGAGGTAATGTGACCTAAATAAATCCACTTATATAAGTTATGCCAAACACCCCTCTTAAAATTAACCCTTATTTTAATTAGGGTAGGGTACAAATACACTTACATGAAATTTGTTTAAAATATAAATTGCTCTATGTGATTTAAAAAATTACAAATATCTCTTTATTAAAAATTTTTATTTAACAAAATTAACTAAAAAATAAAGATTTTAACTGTTTTTTTATACAATAATAAAATTATCTAAATTATTAATTAAAATAAAATTTTAATATTATTAAAATTATTAATTAATTTAATAATTTATTGATAAAAATAATTGCTTATTATGAAATTATAAATTTCGAAGGGTCATATGAATTTTCTAAAATCACATCACACAAATTATATTTTAAACCAGGTATATTTGTAATTTGCCTTTTTAATTAATGGTTTATGTATATGCCCACATCGTAGTATACATATAAGGGCAAATTACATATACACCCCTCGAGGTTTGGCTAAATTACAGATGCCCCCCTGAGGTTTGAGAAATTACGAATTCCCCCTGAATGCTATATTTGCATAAGAAATTAGGGGGTAATTTGTTATGAAATATAAACCTCAGGGGGCAAATTGTTATGAAAATACAAACCTCAGGGGGTGGGATGTAATTTCTGAAACCTCAGGGGGTATCTGTAATTTAGCCAAACCTCGAGGGGTGTATATGTAATTTGCCCTAAATAGCCCTAAATATAATAAATGATTCTAGAAGAACAGACACTAGCAGGTCACTTCAAGTAAAACGAAACGGGATGAGGTTAGCGTAGAGTCCCCCAACCATACGTGCCCTTTACCATCAATACTAACCAAGTAAAATTTTATTTATTTACTTTTATTTTTAATTTTAATTTTAATTTAATTTAGCATTCGTTGGATAAGATAATTGTAACTAATTTAAAGATAAAATATTATATTCAATTTATAATTATTTTTATTTTTATTTTTTTCAAAATTACAAAAAAAATAAAAGTTCATTCTAAATGAAACTGTTTTAGCTAAGTTAAAATAGTCAAAAAAACTAAATACTACTTTAGTATATCTTTTTATCTTATTTAGGTCGCATCACTTCTTATTTAGATCACATCACCTCTTATTTGAGTCAAATCATCTCTCAATTATATTACACATCTTTTCTTAAAAATTCAAAAAATATACTTATTTAAATCATTTCAAATAACTTCTCGGTATCATCTCTCAATTATATTACACATCTTTTCTTAAAAATTTAAAAAATATACTTATTTAAATCATTTCAAATAACTTTTAAGTATACTTAATTAGATTATTTTAAAAAAAAGATTTAAAATATATTTATAAATCAAAAAATATATTTATTTAGATTCCCCAACAAGTATGTTCAAAAGGGAAGATAGTCCTGTTTAAGAAATTAAATATTTTAATAGATTATTTTAATTTTTGATTATTTTAATAGGTTAAAATATTTATATTTAAGAAAAATCTTAGATTGTTTTTGCAGTTTTTTTTTTTTTTGGTAAATAATTTTTTTTGGGTGAATTATTTTTATAATTAGATATGATATTTATAAAAAAAAAATTACTATATAATTATACATTTTAAAAAAAAAAATCTCCCACAAAAATTATGAAAATAATGGGCTAGTCTGATTTTTTTAAGAGTGGCAGTTATGTAGTTACATCCCAACTTGGAGGCATTTAACTTTATTCCCTCAGGGGTCTCCATATAAATCAACGTCAAACTCGCGGAGGCTTCATATTACCAGAATACACGCACAAACACAGCACCATTTTTTACTCTCTCTCTCTCTCTCTCTCTAGAAAATCAGAGGAATTCCTCTCTCTCTCTCTCTCTCTGGCCATAGAAAAATCTGAGAAATTAGCACAATAGGAAAGAACCCAGGTATGTAAAAGCCTATTTGATTTGATTCACAAACTGTGAATGTGTTTTGAGTAGAGAGTTTCTTTTGATTCTTGCTTTGACTTTTCTGCTACAACAAGTTTTGCTCACTTCTGGGTCTTTTATTGTTTTCTGTGCAGTTTTTTGGTACTTCTTGTAATTTCAGCTGCTATTTTTATCTTAAATCAAGTTTGAGGTTTAATATATGATCTGGGTATGTATGTCTTGAAAATTTGAAGTTTTATATGTATATGTTTTTAGTTTGAACTTTGATGTCTGAAAAAAATAAATTACCTTCTTTTTGGCCCTTTGATTAATCTTATTTGATTATTTTTATTTATTAATTACCAATTCTTGCTTTTGAACTTAGAAGGTCAAATTGTTAATGTTATACTTGATGTGGTTCTGTTGTATAAATTCCATGTTTTTATTCTTTCTCACACACACAACCCTTTTGTTTTTGTGTTTTGGTTAAAGTGGTGGGTAATTTATTGATGTCTTTAATGTTCTGATTCTATAATTATTCTCCTGGAAGTGTCATACTTTGCTTTTTCTGAAGTGGAATTGATTAGGTCATGAATTCATTCTTTCAATCCAAAATTATCCTTTTTTTTAGATTTAATTAAGTTGATTTTCTCTTATTTATGATGATTGCTTATATCACTTTCTTCCGAAAGTTCAATAAGTATCAACTATCAATGTCCCACCTGTGAATTTCTATAGCCACGCTGCTTTGTTAAGAAATACTGGAATTGGGAGACTATTTGATCAAGATTTGATTTGAGTTTTGGATCTCATTTTTTCAGAATTTGTGGTTTTGCAAGTATATCAAGAGAGTTTCTGATTTTAGGCATCGGCTTTTCCAATTGGTGGTTTAGTTTTTTATTTGCAGACGTGAATAATTATTACTTCTCATTATTCATAAGGTTTCTCCTAAATTTTTTTTGTTAGTTCTAGGTTTTAGCTTAGGTTTAGTGACCTCTCTGGAGCATCTCCATATGTCTTGTAATCTTTCTCCTAAATTATCTCGTACTTAATGAAATTGTTCATGGTTACCACCATTTAATCTTCTACCCAAATTTGTTCTAGGTTATGTTAGAAAAAATGCCAAATTCTTGTCTCGGGTAACTAATTTGTGTGGTTCATAAATTTTGTTAAGTCCTGGTGTTCAATCCATATTCTGAAATTTAATCATCTAAGCCATCATGTATGTTCGTTAATGTGGAATTTGTATTGCTGATCCAATATTTGGATGTTCCCTAAGTAAATGTAACGTAGCTAAAGAACAAAAAGGGGATGTGATCCATTTAAATTTACATTTTGTTAGTTGAAGGCGGTTGTGGAAAGTCCTACAACTGCATCTGAGATCATTGCAAGTATTAAGATCACTAAAAAGAGTAGTAACGACTGGCTCAAAAGGACCTAGACCAAGGCAACCAATGGTCATGCAGCAAGTAAGAGCCTGGAGCCTGTAGCTTAAGCATCTGGATTGTTGTAGAGCCCTAGAAATGACTAGATTGCAAGGGGCTCATATCTAGACCGAAAAACCTCCTAACGCATGCTCTAAATAAAGGGATTCCTACCATAGCAAGCCTTGGAAATCAAAAAGGGGGTGAGATGTGGTTCACTGGAACCACACTATTGAAGAAGTAAGAAGTAAAAACCGAACGGTTCATGACAGAAATCTATATGCCTTCTCAAAAGGGCAAGTGTCTCCTTGAGTAGGAAATTAATCTCACTCAAAAAAGAGGGACATCCACATCATCAGGTTTTGAGTTTTTGTGAGTTCAGATTATGAAAGGCAGCTTGACGATGAGGTTAAGAGCTAAATCAGTTCTCAATAGGATAGAGATGGGATGATTTCTACATAACGGCCCCATTTGGTAGAGCTGTGGGAAAGTGATTATAACTTATAACTTAACAGCTTATAACTTATAATTGTGAACATAAGCTGATTTTTTACTTATAAATTAAGCTTCTCCTCCCCCACTCAAAGAATAAGTTGATTTTTGACTTACAAAAAATTATAAGCTGTATTGTTAAGCTGAACAAAACAAATCAAAATAGCTTAAATTAAGTTAAAAGCTGAAATAAGCCCTATCAAACAGGACCAACATGGACCCTTCAAAATAAATCAATTACTCATGTCGGGCACCTGACACTAACAAGGGTGTGAGATATGTGTCCGATACTTTCTATCGGACACTTATTATATATTTGTATTTAGCACTAGTGTTATATGTATATATTGTTCTATAATTGCTATGGAATTAGTAAAATGCCTTTTAGATATTGTATGTTATATATAACACAATTTTATCTTACATAATGGATTAAAAATATAAAAATATAACCCTTTTTTGCTGAGTCTGTATACCTTTACATTTGAGATTTGATGGGTCTGACCTCTTGAATATGCACCCACACCTGATACTCGTACCAAAGTCTATGTAACATAAGATTCTTTTGCATGCCTTTCTATGAGTTGAACTTTGAACCTTAGGGGTTATTTCCCATTAATGTTGAATGTAGTTACGTAACAAGTGGGCAATCACAGCAAGAGAAAGGTCAATACCCCTTCTCACATGTTGCAAATTACCGTAGTTAATGGATGTAAGAATTCTTCTAGATATTGTTGCTGTGGTATTTTTGTTTTCAATGATTTGTTGTATGTTCTTCTTCACCAAAAACTCGCACCTTGTTGATTATTGTAGCAATTGATTATCATAGCTGCACCTTGTTTATGGGCTTGTGGTGAGAGTGAAGGCTTAGTGACAGCTATGGAGCAGGAAGAGTGACTTGTAGTGTATCTTTGTATCATTTTTTGTACGTCTGGTTATTCTTGCTTGTCTTAATAGTGAAAGTAAAGATCTAAAGGTCAGAGGACTTTTGTGTGTCATAGTACCTCTTTGAGGATTGTATTTTTTAAGTTTGTTTTGTGCTTGTAATATTGTCTAAGATTGGGGATCCAATCATTGCAATTTCTGTTTGTGACTTTTAAATAGACTTGTTTTCTGTATGCAGTCAATTGAATGTGAAATTGTAGGAGTGCTTGTTGAAATTGTGTCTCAAAATCTTAGTTGAAGGAACCATCGGTTCTCTCTTGCACTGGGACCAATATATATATATATATATTTTTTTTAAGGGCTAATTTTGGGTTTCAATGTGAGAGAGAACTCGTCACATAAAGGGGTTAGTGTTTGTGAGAGAAAGCATCTCTCTTGTACCATCATATTCATTCTGAATTATTCCAATAATCTTCACCCATTGAGGTAAGCCTCAAACCAAACTACGTAACTCTGTGCCATGTTTTTGGGATTCTTGTTTCTCGAGTTTGTATATGATCCATAATCCAAGGTCTGTTGTAACACTGCATATGTTTCATACTTTCCTTAATCTTGATTACTGTTCATGCTTCTTTCAATGCTGTTATGGGCTTCGTTTGGGAAGTTGCTATTTTAGTAGGCTATTTTAGTTTTTGGCTATTTTAGTAGGCTAAAATTTTTGTGTTTAGGAAGATGATTGGATTTTTTTATGGTTGGATGTGATGTTTGTGAGAGAAAAAGTGAAATGATTATGGGTTTGATGTGATATTTTGTCTTATTAGCTATTTTAGCCTATTTTGTCTTTTTGTGAATTTTAGCCTAAATTAGGCTATTTTTTTTCTTCCCAAACACCCCCATTTGTTTATTGAGTTATTAACCCAACTTCAGAATCTGTCTAGCCTTGGCCAGTTGGCCTGCCTCAATAGTGATAATTTACTCTTCTTGGTGTTTGTGCAACAGTTTTTGCAATTAATTTAAGATTTTTTTTTTTTCTTGCCCTGGGTGTTGGAGGTGAAAAAAACTCTTCAAGATTATGATTGTATATTAGAACCTCATATAAGGTTCACTGTTATTGACTGTGAATCTTATTTTGTTACGGTAGATAAATAATAATTACATTTCCTTCCAAAATTTAAGACTCAATTCATTGTTGACTAAGTGTTTGTGTAATATTTACTCAACTATGTTTCAACATTGGAGTAGCATTGATGTTGTTTTCTCTTTTTGCAGAGCATGTTGGTTCTATAGCAGGAGCAATTATTGGTGATAGAGCTGCCTGATAATGTGCAACCTTTACCAAATGAGAAATTTAGCGAGGTCGTGAGAGCAAGAAGGTTTGATATACTGCACTACCTTCACTAGCTAAATCAATCAACAGTTAGATGCAACCATCCCAGGAGCAACAAAGTTCAGGCAGTATCCATGGCTTGTACCACCAGCCTATGCAGCAGATCGAACCATACTGCATCTCTCCTTTCCAAATTTTGACCAACAACGTGTTCCCTGAAAATGGGAGCCAAGCAACCCAAGTTTCATTCCAGTCTTACAATGAACCGTACTTCACACTGGAATCGTCTCCAGCAAACGGTTACATTGTCTATGATTCCCCTCCTGCTGTGAGCATCTCTTCTAACCGGACTCCCTTTTCACCACAAGGTTCTCAGTCATACCTGTCAGATCCACATCATTCCTCTGACAATACTTATGGATCCACAGTTAGCGGGTCTTCCGTTGTCGATGATGGTAATGGACTCAGGCACATATTGAAAGATTTGGAGAATAAATTGTTGGGGCCTGAATCTGATGATGACATCAGCAGTTGCTCCTTCAAAGGTGCAGGCCACCAAGCATATTCCTCAACAAGTTCAAATCAAATGATGGAAACGAGCCCCAGCTTAGACTTAAAACAAATGCTTGTAGCCTGTGCAGAAGCAGTGTCGGAGGAAGATATGGAAACCGCATCGAGATTGATGCTTAAGTTAGAAGGCATGGTTTCAGTCTGCGGGGAACCGATCCAACGGTTGGGTGCATACATGTTGGAAGGGCTTAGAGCAAGATTGTTATCATCAGGGAGTTTAATCTACAAAAAACTGAAGTGCAGAGAAGTGCTACCGACCAGTTCAGAGCTTATGTCCTACATGCATGTCCTCTATCAGATCTGCCCTTACTACAAATTTGCCTACAATTCTGCCAATGTTGTTATAAAGGAAGCTATGGAAAATGAGAGCAGAATCCACATTATTGATTTTCAGCTTGCACAGGGAAGCCAGTGGGTGGACCTCATTAAGGATCTTGCCAAACGGCCTGGTGGGCCCCCATACATTCGCATCACCGGGGTTGATGATTCCGATTCAGCTCATGCTCGAGGTGGAGGGCTTGACATTGTGGGGGAAAGGCTATCAAAAGTTGCTGCGTCGTGTGGAGTGTCATTTGGATTTCATGGTGCTGCTATGTCTGGATGTGAGGTTGAACTAACGAATCTTAGAGTTCAACATGGAGAAGCACTGGCCGTGAATTTCCCTTACATGTTGCACCACATGCCAGATGAGAGCGTTACCACTAGCAATCATCGAGATCGGCTATTGAGGCTGGTTAAGAGCTTGTCGCCCAAGGTCATGATCCTCGTCGAGCAAGAATCCAATACCAACACTGCTGCATTCGTTCCACGGTTCAAGGAGACATTGGACTATTATATGGCTATGTTTGAATCGATTGACGCTGCTCGTCCAAGAGATGATAAGCAGCGGATCAGTGCAGAAGAGCACTGTGTGGCTCGGGACATTGTGAACATAATAGCATGTGAGGGAGCAGAGAGGGTGGAAAGGCACGAGCCGTTTGGGAAGTGGAGGTCAAGACTTATGATGGCGGGGTTTATGCCGTGCCCTATGAGTTCCTCAGTGAGCATAGAAATTAGCCGAGTCTTGAAGGACTACAGCAAGAATTTCAGATTTGCAGAGAGGGACGGGGTTCTTTATCTTGGCTGGAAGAATAGGGTTTTGGCAACATCTTCGGCGTGGAGGTGAGAAACGGTTTTGTGGCTGCTTTGATGCATAATTTCTGTAAATTCTCTCTCAATGTTGTTTTTTGTTATTTTCTTTACGCTGTGTTTGGTTGGGGGATTTAGAAAGGGAAAGAAAAAAGATAGGTGAAATGAGAATAAAATATATCTATATTTTACTTAATTTTATACAATTTTTTCCTTTTTATTGTCAAATCCTCTAACCAAACACAGTATTAGAGTGATATTGCTCTCTCTGTATTAATACACAGGCTAGAAGAGCTGAGCTCTCTTCTAGTAAGTAAGACCTTGTGCTTTGTATAGCTCAGACTTCTCCAACGTTCAGCAATTGTTGTACATGCCTGCCTAGGTGCCTAGGAATGAAATTAGTGAGCTTATTATTATTGTTTTCTTTAGCTAGTATTTTGTGGTAGTGTAATTTATTTTTTTCGAATGATTTTATCTGGATTTTATTTATTTATTTATTTTTTTAATCAAATAAAAAACAAAGAGGGTTGGTTTGAATAATTGAAAGGGGAATTTTTGACAGAATCCTAGCTAGAATGATTGGTAATGGTTGTGTTCTTGGAATCCCAAATTCGCCGCATGCTGCATAGCCCAATGCTTTTGTTTCTTTTTTTGGGTAAATTACGCTGACGCCTCTTAAAGTTTGGTCTAATTGCATCTTATTCCTAGATGTTTTAGAATTACATTATCACTCTTGTGATTAATAGTCTTATTTTACAAACCTTCATGTTTATATAAAAGGCAACAATTTTTAGTAGAAAAATAGAAGAAATTACATTGAAAAAAAAACAAAAGAAAAAAAAAAAAAAAGTAAAGCAAAGTAAGAAAAAAGAGAAAGTGCATAAGTTTAATATTTTTGTTCTATCTAAATAATTACAATGATAAGGGGTTAATATAATTTCTCAAAGGTCAGGGAGTGATATGTATTAAATCCAAGTCTCAAGAGGTATAAGTGTAATTTACCTTTTGTTTTTTTGGTACGATTTTTGTGTTTGCATATCAATTACTATAACAGCAATCAAAAAGTGGAAAGTTAGTAGATTAACATTCGTTATCATGTTGAATCACAATGCGATTGTATTTTACTTAAAATAAATAATGTCACGCTTGCTGCAAATTGAGTAGACCTTCTAATTTGATTCATATATATACTCGATGAGAAAGATCACTAGTTAATACAAGTTAACTTTATACTAGAGCATAAATAAAAGTATTCAGTTGCTAATGAACCAAGGCATCAATCCACAAGATTAATATTTAGGCACATATCACTTGTCAATGGGGATATTCAATAACATATAAATTTTCTAATTTTATAAAAATAAAAATAAAAATAAAAAGAAAAGAAAAAGGTGAAGTGAATTACATTGACACATGCTCTATTCATCTGAAATCACATTGACACTTCTTACTATAATCTCTTGCTTTCTTGCTTTAAAAGATTTTATAGCACATTGACCATTTTATGAGCCAACATTTTGTTGACCAAACGAAAAACGGTTGATGTTAGCAAAAACAAATCTTTCAAATGCCTATTTTTTCCTATTTAAATAAATTCTTCTTCTTACTCGTTTCATTTTCAATCACAACCAAACTCCCAACCACACCTGTAATGATGTACTAAGGTCTCACTTAAGAAGTGACTTATAAATTGATTTATTGGCTTAGGTCTCGTTTGACAATTTCATATTTTAGTCAATAAGTCAAAAAATCATTATAAGTTGTCACATCACTCTCTCTATTTTTATGCACATATTTTTATAAAAAGTTAAAAAAATTACTAAAATAGCTTGGTTCCAAACGAGGCCTTATTAAGAAAAAAATATACAAAAAAAATAAAGAAATGATGTGATTAAGGCCGAATTGTGCAACATTGAGACTGTTAATTAGGATCTCTTAACTTTACTTGCTTGCCAAATTATATATTTTATGTCTGTTTAATGTCAATCAGGTTGTACATAGTCGGAGCATAAAATGGGCAAAAATACAGAATTTGGAGAGAAAAGAGCTTCCCGCACGCGCATTGACTTTTCCCACACGTGCAGTCGTACCTCGAAAAACGGGCCCGATGTTTTGAACCTGTTTGAAAGACAACAGAGGTATAAAAAGGCAAGAAGGAGGCTGGATTAGGATTCGAAAATTATTCTAAGGAAAGGGAGGCTAGGGTTTTGAAAAGATGATTTCTCCTCAAGCTTGAAGGACAACTTTCATGGGGGCTTCTTCCTCATCCTCTTCCTCTTCCCACTCCTCCATGAGTGGCTAGTCTTCTTTTTTAGGGTTTTGATGAAACCTTAGCCATGTAATAGGATTTTTCATAAGTTTTGATTATGAATCGGTTTGAATCAATGTATGGATGATTTAGAAGTTTTTAATAATTGTTCATTTCATCTCTGCAAGTATTTTACTCTTTGTGATTGTTTAATACTTTCCATATATTAGTTTTCTTTGTGTTTGTGTTCAAAGTACGAGATGAGTCATGCTATGAGAAACGGGTCGTGTTGCTACCATAGTTTAGAGCAAACGCCTCGTGCTACTCGGGATGATTTGTGCCTGTACGTTGAATGTGACAACCCTCTTGATCAATATTTTAAACTTGTAACTGTGAAATATTGGATATTTCAAACCAGATTACAATTGATGGCCGATGTTAAATCTCATCTATGTGGTGCGTAGTGGTGAATTCTTTGCCCTGGGATTTTTTTCCAAAAATAAATCTCTCAAACCCTACGTTTAATTGTCAATTTAATTTTTCAATTTCATTTAATTCATGTTTAGTCATAAAATCTCTCAATCTTTTTAATCAAAATTAATTTAGGAATTTAGCGAGTAAATTAGTCTAATTTCATAATTGTCCCTGTGGATCGATACTTGAACTTGCCATTATTCTAAAAGAATTTGGTATAGTTTAGTATTTATATTTGGCGTGTGTAACGACCCATCAAATTTTAGCGCTGTTACCAGGGACTTTTGACTTAATTGAGTAGTTTAAAGTCACATTCCTATTTTAATTTTTAGTTTAGGATTTTATATTTTTGTGTTGCTAAGTGTGCAGAGTGTTTATCACCGAAGTGCAAGCGGAGTGCAACCGAGCTCTAAAAAAAACAAAAACAAACTGCAACACTAAAGTGCTAAAAATGAAGCCAACACTCGCAAGCAAAGCACAAAAGTGCTAAAAAGAAAGACAAAGCTAAATTGGAGGTTGGAGACAACGTTTACACGTCACGTACCTGCAAGACGAGTAAAGCGTTTTCGTTAAATCGCTGTAAGTATTCTCTTCTTTGGTATTTTTGCTTTCATAGAGTCGGAACTTAGTGTCTGTGTGAGTAATGTATGCACAGGCGCTGTTCTTATCACCCTGAATTGTGGAGTTTGGACCTTGAACTAAAAGGGCTCTTAGGAAACTTAGAGCATTTGCCCGTGTTCCTAGGCTTTAATATTCATATCCATACTTGGAACCAATAAAAATGGAAAACTCGAATGGCCTAAATGGGCCCAACCGGACCCTTAAGGATTACTTCACACCAACTGCATACACATCACCATCATGCATCCAATTACCCGACACCACTGCTGCTTATTATGAGATTAAGTCCAGCACCATACAAATGCTCCCATCATTCTATGGACTAGCTCATGATGATTCTTACAAACATTTGAATGAATTTTTGAAAATTTGCTCTACAGTGAGGATCTAGAATTTCACAAATGAGGCCTTAATGTTGCGATTGTTCCCATTCTCATTAAAGGACAAAGCCAAACACTGGCCGAACTCCTTACTTGCTAATTCTATCACAATTTAGGACCAATTATAATAAAAATTTCTAGAGAAGTACTTTCCTATTCGAAAGACCAACCAACTTAGGCGAGTCATCACTAATTTTGCTCAAATTGATGGCGAGCAATTTCATGAGACATGTGAGAGACTTCGTGACCTTCTCCAATAGTGTCCCCACTACCAAGTGCCTGATTGGCAACTTGTTCAAACATTTTACTATGGCTTAACTGAGTCTTACCGCCAAATGGTGGATTCTTCTTGTGGTGGGACATTCATGTCCAAAAATGATTGTGAAAACCCATATTTAAATTATTCTTAAAATAAAATTAATTAATTAATTAATTAATTAATTAATTGTATTCAAAATCTACCTAAAATATATAATAGTACAGAAAAAATAGTTTTAAATTAACCCAATTCTATCACTAATAAAGACCTTATTAAGAATAAAAATGTTATGGATGTTCAATAATTATTGTTTTAAAAAAAATAAAAAAATAAAAAAAAAATTCGTGGCTATTTACATGGTGATATGGGAACCATAAACCATTATCTTTCTTAGGATTTAGGGAAAGCCATAGAATTTGGAGAAAGTAAGCAAAGAAATTAGAGAAAGCCTAATTCTTAGAACTTGGAGAAATGGAATGGTTTTATTAATGAAAAGAATGTGTGAGAGAGAGGGAGAGAGAGGGAGCTAGCCACGGAGTCTATATAATGCACCTAGTAGTATGCACAGAAAGTTTATATTTTTTGGGCTAAGCATAAACCATATACATCCAAATAGAGGGAATTCTTGTGGAAGAAGAGGAGAAGGTTGAGGTTGCATATTTTTCTTACCATTTCATTATTCCGTTTCAACCCTACAACTAAGTGAGAAAACCCTCTCAATCCTCTCATTTTTTTTACATAATTGAAATTTTCAGATTGTATACATATGATACATTGTCTAAATTGTGTTGAAAATAATCTGTGCTGAATCTGCCAGCATGTTTGCCTAAAGTTTTAGACAATTTTATACTCAAACTTTTGAGATGATTTCTTCTACAAAGTTGTTGATAATGATGTCTAGTTCATCCAAGAATTTTGGTAACAATTTTTGAGCTTCCTACGAATTTATACAAATTTTTAACAAAAATCTGAAATTGTGTTGAAGATAATCTATTTTGAATTTGCTAGCATGTTTGCCTGAATTTTTAGACAATTTTATACTCAAAATTTCGAGATGATTTCTTCTACAAAATTGTTGATAATGATTTCTAGTTCATCCAAGAATTTTGGTAACAATTTTCAAGCTTTCCACGAATTTATACAAATTTTTAACTAAATCTGAAACTGTGTTGAGAATAATCTGTTTTGAATCTGCCAGCATGTTACCCGAATTTTTAGATAATTTTATACTCAAAATTTCAAGATTATTTCTTCTATAAAGTTGTTGATAATGATGTCTAGTTTATCCAAAAAATTTTGTAAACAATTTTTGAGATTTCTACGAATTTGTACAAATTTTTAACTAAATCTGAAACTGTGTTGAGAATAATCTATTTTGAATCTGCCAGCATGTTTACCCGAATTTTTAGATAATCTTATACTCAAAATTTCGAGATGATTTCTTCT